CTTAGGGTAAATTCCTAGGGGTGGAATTTCTGGGTCAAATGGTATTTCTGTTTTGAGTTTTTTGAGGAACCTCCATACTGATTTCCACAATGGTCGAACTAGTTTACATCCCCACCAGCAGTGTAGGAGGGTTCCTCTTTCTTCGCATCCTTGCCAGCATTTGTTCCTAGTCTTTTCTATGTTGGCCATCCTAACTGGTGTGAGGTGATACCTCATTGTGGTTTTAATTTGCATTTCCCTGATAATTAGCCATGTGGGGCATCTTTTCATGTGCCTGTTGGCCATCTGAATTTCTTCTTTGGAGAAGTGTCTGTTCATATCCTCCACCCATTTTTTAGTAGGGTTATTTGCTTTTTGGTTGTTGAGGCGTGCGAGTTCTTTATATATTTTGTATGTTAACCCCTTGTTGGATATGTCATTTACGAATATATTCTCAGATGTTCTGTTCTTAAATTCCTTTCTCTCCCTTTGTATCATAAATCTTCTACTTGCCTGCCTTTGAATTCATAGATTCTTACTTCTGCTGTGTCCAGTCTGCTCTTAAGTCCATCCATGGCTTACTTCAGATACTATGTATTTTTTTAGTTCTAGAATTTTCACTTGGTCCTTTTTTCAGTTGTTCCACAAAATTCTTTATGTGTATAATAGTTAATTTAAAATCTTTTTATGCTACTTCTAATGTTTGGTATGTCTGTTTCTTCTTTTTTTTCTTGATTATGAGGCATGTTTTCCTGATTCTTTTACATGTCTAGATCATTTTTGTATACTGGACACTGGATAATATATTGTGGAGACTTTGGACTGTTGTCTTCTACCAAAAAGTGTGAGTTTTGTTCTCTCTGGCAGTTAAGTTACTACAAATTGCTGATCCCAATAAGGCTTGGTTTTAGAATTTAAGATAGGGTTACTTTGGTTTCGATTTAGTCTTTGGATGTAGTCCTTACTCCCAGGGGATGGTCTTTTCTCTTAGGTGCAGCTTTCCAGGGTGTCAGCTCAATGACTGGGTCAGAACTCCAGCGCCCCCCAACACTGCATGCCTTCTGAAACCTCTTCTTTGCCCCCTAGTAAATGTTGTCACATGTTAGGGAGCCTTCTCCAATGCATTTGCAGCAAGAGTTCAGCTAAGGACTCATGGAAAAACCGTCTGCAGGTTTCTGGGCCCCCTTCTTTGTTGTACTTGACATTGCAAAGCCCTCCTCATAGTCAATTCCATAGCTTCCTCCCCCTGGTCAAAACTTAAGGCCTCCCCACCTGGTAAGACTCAGGCTTCTGGGGAGCTTAGTCAAGTCTCCTGTCTGCCTCACAGACGTAGCCCAAGCACCGACAGTGCTCCACATGCATCCCCTGTGTCTGTTTTCCTTATCAGTCTTTTTGTTGATCAGTCTTCCTGGGATCCTCTTATTCTGTGTGTACATTTTGTGGCTTCTCAAAGTTCTGTCTGTTCCTTTAGTTGATATTTAAACACATCCATTAATGTTGTTTACACCTTGTTGCTTTTGTCTCGTCATTCTCACTCTAGGAGTTTTTCCCAAGCACCCAAATTGTTTTTCACTTCCTCCTAGAATGAAAGAACAGACCTAAAAGCCATCGCCATCAACACAGGCCATTTCTGGTGAGTAGTCATCCAGCAGCACGAGCCCGACAAAATCCGCGCTGGGTGACTCCTGATGCTCCGCTATAGCGGAGGACTGGGAATCTGAGGGTGGGTCAGAAAAGGAGAAGACACATGGCGCCAGTAGACTATGAATATGGGCGAGCAGTGACCCAGGATGAGGAGCTACATGCAGAAGTTGTGGGAAAATGCAGCTTCAATTCAGACTTATTTTCTTCACAGAGATACCTTATCAAAGAATATTTCCATCAGATTGACTCAGGAGTTCAAAGGTTACAGCATACTTCTGTTTTAAAAAATCATCAGGAAATCTTAGTAGGGAAGAAACCCTATAAAAGCAATTCATGTGGAAAAACCTTGAAAAAACTGTATAAATTGAATGTGTGGTAAATATAACAACTAGAGCATATATCTTTCTACATATGATATAATTAATACAGGAGAGAAATTCTGTGAATGCAAAGAAAGGGGATTGTTTTACCCGTAGCTTACCCTTCTCTCAGGTCACGAGATCTCCTACTGGGAGAAACCCCATGTAGTGGGTGTGGGAATGCCTCTAAGAATCTTTCATCTCTTTCTCACCATCTGAGAAATCACAGTGGAGAGGAAGCCTATGAATGTGATGAATGTGGGAAGACTTCCTGGCAGAACCTCCACCTTGCACCGGAGAACTCACACTGGTAAGAAACCTTATCAATGTAATAAATGTGGAAAATCTTTCAGCCAAAATTCTCACCTTAATGTACACCACAGAACTCATACTGGAGAGAAACCCTATAAATGTGATGAATGTGAAAGATCCTTCAGTGGAATGTCTAATCTTAATATGCATAAGAGAACACATACTGGAGAGAAAACCTAAAATATAATGAATGTGGAAAAGCCTTTAGTGACTGCTCCTGATATACACAACGTGAAAGGACGCATACTGGGGAGAAACCATACGGACGTAACGAATGTGGGAAAGCCTTCAGCCACAGCTCTCCTCTTACAGTTCACAAGAGAATCCATACTGGTGAAAAGCCATCTAAGTGTAATGAATGTGGAAAAACTTTGTTTTCATGTATCCTTCACCCAGCATAAGAGAACACACACTAGAGAAAAACCATATAAATACCATCAGTGTGGAAAAGCTTTCAGTCAAGGTTCTAACTTTATTGGACACCAAAGAACTCATACCAAAGGGAAAAAAACTACATCCTCATTGTAATATATAAAAGCTCTGTAAGTATGTTTAAATTTTTGTCCCAGAGAAGGGCTGAGCCTGGGTGGCATTTGATATCTAGAAAAATTGCCAATGAGAAATAATGAGATCAAAACTACCTTCAATACTAATTAATGTAATCAACCTGTGTGGGAAAGGCTATTGCTGAGAAGTCAAAATAGGTTGATGATACTTGATTAAATGACTGAATGTACTAAAGGGCCAGAGTGCCATTATTTAGTCATTGTTCCCCACTGGTAGAGAGTTGGGCTTCTTCAGTTTGTTTCAGGAAGTCCCTCTGAAGTATAATTTTGAACAATGCATAGAAATATGGAAAACATCTATAATACGTAGTGAAACATGTAGACCTGTTCAGACTGTGTTGTGTTATGTACGCATTTGAACAAGGGTTTAGAAGAAGACACAGAAATAATGTAGCTAATTAATAAGAGTTTTGGGATATTATATGACTTTCCTTTTTTTTTATTGACTTTCCTTTTTTTAACATTTAAAAATTGCCGTAATTTTACAATAAATAGATGATCAAAAGTAAGTCTGAATTACTTGAAATGGATATACTAAGGTAGCAAAAACAAATGGAAATAAGTTCAGTGGTCAACACAAGAAGTTAGAAAAATTATAATCAAAACAGAAAGAAGAATATAATAAAGATGAAAGCAGAAAATAAATGATAAAAGGGGACTCTGAGAAAAACAAACTGGGGTAAGTTCCAAACTACCACGATCCAGAAAAATTACATAAACTTGTAACACTGGGAATGAAAAAGGAAATAAACATAGAGAAAGTAATATCAAAGGGTTGTATATTTTTTGGGTAAAACACTTAAAAACTTAGATGAAAAGATATTTTTCCAAGAAAATATAACCCTGGAAAGCAAAAATACTGACTGAAGAAGACACTGAAAATCTAAACAGACCAAACGTTCTGGATTAAATTGAAAAAGTCCTCAAAGAATTATCTCACAAAAAGTATTTTACCAGTGCTAAACTGTTTTACCTGTGAATTATTTCCACCCTTTAAGAAATAGAAAACTCTTTGATACACAACTGTGTTAAGCTGAACACTTAACTCTTTTATGATACCAATATGTTAAAGCTTAAAGGGAGCAAAATTAAAAGCCAATGTCTGTCAGGACTATTGATGCAAAGGAGATACTGTCAGTAAAGATAGTATAGAACACCTGGATTTAGGAATATTCACTCCAGGAGTCAGTGTGTTTAGTATTAGGAAATATACAACTGTAATGCCCCATTTTAATCAAGCAGTGGAGAAAAACCAGTCATCTCAGTGGTTAATTAGAAAGAATTTATTGGTTAATTGGTTATTTCAGGGAAAAAGAAACCCCTCATAACATTAAAAATTTTTTATAATATAAGGCAGAGCCTCTGACAACAGTAGGTTGATGGGACAGAACCCCAAACTTGGGGTGGGAAGAATTCTGTGTCTAAAAGCAACTTTCTCATCTTGAGAATCCCTTTAGCCTAGAATTTTGCTGAGAATTCAGAGCACTGGAATGCTCATATTTTAGGTGTGCCATTGAATCTTTTTTGACAATGGGTATCAAGACATAGAACATTTCCATTACCCCAGAAACTTTTCTTGTCCCTTACCAGACAATTATTCTGTATACCTAAAATCAAAGGGTAATTTCTATCACCATGGGTTATTTCTGCTGACCTTAGAATTTCATAAGGTGGGATCATAATATATTTAATGCATTTTTGTCTGCTGCTTTCCCTCAGCAAAATACTTTTGAGATTTATTGTTACTGAATGCACCAGCAATTCATTCATTTTTATTGCTGGGTAGTATTCCACTGTATGAATATAGAATGATGTACTCATTCTCGGGTTGATAGAAATCTGGGCTGTTTCCAGTGTAGTTATTATGAGTAAAGCTGCTATGAACATATTTATCAAAGTTTGCTTTTTCATTTCTCTTGAATAAATTCCTAGAAGTGAAACAGCTGAACTATAGAATAGATGTATGCTTAGCTTTTTAAGAAACTGCTAATATCAAAGTGATAAAAGTTTATGTAAACATCAGCTATGTATGGGAATTCCTGCTCCTCCACATCACTACATTTGGTACTGTCCATCTTTTTCATTTTGGTCATTCTAGTGAGTGAATAAAGATATATTATTGTGGTGTGATGACTAATGACACGGAACACTTCTTCATGTGCTCATTGGCTGCTTGGCCTGTCTTTATTTATGAAACTTTTATTCATATGTCTTGCCCAATTTTTTGTTGGGTTGTTTGTCTTTTTTATTATTGAGCTGTAGGAGTTGTGTATATAGTCTGGATTTTATATGTGTGTGTGTGTGTGTGTGTGTGTGTGTGTATATATATATCTTTGTATATGTACATATTGTGAACATTTTATAAAAATTTTAGCAAATTGAGTCCAATAATAAAATAACTTAAAAGCATCATGACTAAGAGGGGTCATCACAGGAATGATTGGTTTAACAAAAATCAATAAATGTAATTCATTATTTTAACAAGCTAAAAAAGAAGTATATGATTGTCTCAATGCATGCAGAGAAAATCTGACAAATCCAATATCCACTCCTGGTTAAAAAAAAAAAACTCTCACCAAATTTGAAATAAAAGGGAATGTTCTCAACCTGATGAAGAGCATCTACAAAACCCCACATGTAATATACTTAATGATAAAAACTGAATGCTTTACCCCTAAGATCAGAACAAGGCAAGGATATCTGATCTCACCACTTCTATTCAACATTGTAATGGAGGTTTTAACCAAGACAATTGGCAAGAAAATGGGATAAAATGAATCCAGATTGGAAAGGAAGAAGTTAAAAACAGTTTCTATTTAAGCAGACTCACAGACTCCAAGGGACTAGTGGTTACCAAAGGGGAGGGGTGGAGGAGGGTGGGTGGGAAGGGAGGGAGAAGGAGATTGAGGGGTGTTATGATTAGTACACATGTTGTCGGGGGATCATGGGGAAGACAGTGTAGCTCAGAGAAGGCAAATAGTGACTCTGTGGCATCTTACTACACTGATGAGCAGTGACTGCAGTTGGGTGTGAGGGGGATACTCGATAGTAAGGGTGAATGTAATAACCACATTATTTTTCTTGTGAAACTTTCATAAGAGTATATCAATGATACCTTAATAAAAAAAAACAGTTGCTATTTACATATTACATGTTCTTCAATGTAGAAGAGCTGATGGAATCTGCCAAAAACTGTTGCAATAAGTGAGTTTAGCAAGGTTTCAGGATACAAGATCAATATACATCTGTATTTCTGTATACCAGCAATGCACAATTGGTAACTGAAAAAATTTAAAATACTATTTAGTACAGGATCAAAAAGTGAACTTAAGGATAAATGTGACAAAAGATGTGAAGAATATGCACATTGGAAACAAAAAACTGCTAAGAGAAAGAAGAACTAAATAAATTGTGAAATACACTCGTTCATATGTCAGAAGACTCAGTGTTACTAGGATGTCAATTATCCTCGACTTCATCTATAAATTTCAATGCAGTTCCAATTAAATTCCCAGTAGGACTTCTTATAGACACGGAATTGTAGGAACCTAGAAAAGGACCTAGAATAACTAAAACAACTCTGAAAACAAGAAAGTTGGAGAGTTAACACTGATTTCAAAAATTATTCCAAGTGCTACGGTAATCAAAATAGTTTGGTATTGGTATAAAGATAGACAAGTACACCAATGGAACAGAATATGTAGTCCAGAAATAAGCCATACACATACGGATAACTACAAAGGCACACAGGGCAAAATGCAGTGGAAAAAGGAAAGCCATTTCAACAAATAGTACTGGAACAATAGGATGTCCTTACTATTTATTTATTTGCTTGTTCATTTATGTCCACACAAAATTCTCTTTATTACAAGGAAAATAATAATTTTATAATAGAGGAATCTGATAGACATCTCCTGAACAAGGTGATCAAAGTCAACATTAACAATAATGGGACAGTACCATTGTTAGCAATGCCATGGGCATCCTGGTGTAACATAGGCATAGAGACAATATCACTTCTCTACTATGCTTGCCAAAAATGTATTATCTGAATTTATTCATGAAGAAACATTAATTGAAACCAATAGAGATATATGCTACAAAATAACAAGTTTGACTCTTTAAAATGTCATGGTCATAAAATGAAAAGTAAAGAAAATGAAGTATTTTGGAATTAAAAAGACTAAAAGTGACATGACAACTAAGCAGTGTGTGATCCTGGATTGGATCCTGGACCAGAAAGAAATACTTTGTAAGAAAATTACAAAAGATAGTATTAGGAAAATTAGTGATATTTAGTAAGGTCTATAGATTATACTATATG